CGCGCGCCGTTCTGTCGGGCCGGAGGGAAGCGCTGCTTCGCTCCACGTCGGCTCCTTGCACATTTCTCCAGCTGGACAGCTCACCTCCAGGCCCCCTCGGCTGACACCACCCTTTGGAGAAAAACAGGCAGCTGAGAGATTGAGTGAGTGTGGGAGCTGAGAGACCACCATCTATAAGCCAACTTGTATGCAACAGTACAGGCAAGACGGAGGCTTTTCAGTGCTCAGAACGACAGGGGTCCGAGGAGCTCAGCTCGTGACACGCTGTAAAGAGCCCAGACCTCGGTCTCGGACCCGCCCTTGGAGCCCGCCGTCGGCATTTACCAGCCCTGCGAACCTCGGGCAAGTTCCTCTCGGAGACTCAGTCTCCTCGGTTTCCTTGTGAAAAAGGTTTTTAAGCTGGCTAAGATTTGCTGGTGCTTGTTATGCACTAGGGGTTGTCCTTTTAATTTACACGCAGGGTCACACGCAGGTCCCAGGACCCAGTTTCCAAACGAGGAGCCTGAGAGCCAGAGAGACTAGGCGGTCTCCCCGAGGCCTCATTACTCGTGCAGTCTAGAAACTGGCAGGGAGCCCACGTCTGTCCGGCTTTGAAAACTGCTTTCAGAGCTGCTCTGTGCCGCTTCGTTCGTGAAACTGGTGAAAACAAGATCAACCTTGAAGGGGTTTAAAATAACGACAGGATATGTATCAACTTTCCAGAGGAGTGTCTAGCCCAAGAGTCTATGCTCGATAGAGGTCATTATCACCAAATAATAAATTATATTTAAATTATTAAATAAATAAAGAAAAATTATTGAATAATAATCCAGGAAAATCACGAAGAGTGGCAGATAATACTTTAGGAAATGATGATCGCTGTTTATTAAGTCCAGTACATGCAAGCTCTCTGTGACGTGAATATTCACACTGTCACAATTGCTGCTCACGAAAACTATTATTAAGGTTGAAAAAAATTATCTGTACATGAAAAAATTATGGCTCAGCGAGATCAAGGGTTTTGCACAAAGTCATACTATGGAGTAGCAAGAATCAGAACTAGGGATACGGATTCCAAAGCCAGCTATGTTGTTGTTGGTCTCAGTTTTTATTTTTAATCACGTTGCTATGTGGCCTTCCCAAAGGAAGCTGGATTTTGGGAGAAGCGTGTATGAATTTGTGTTACAGGGCTCATGCTTGGTAACAGCAAACAAGAATGAAAAACAGAATTTCAGAGATCAGAAAGCTAAGCAGGAGAGGAAATGGTTTAAACCAGAAAATGGTGAATTAATTCATCTGGGAGAAAAAATAATCCCAAACATCTATTCGACGAAAAACAAAAGCTTGGAAGCAGCATAGTGAATCTTGTTAGAAAGATTGATTTTGGCTTCCTCCTGCTCTGTTCATCACACCTGAATAATCACAGCAATCTAATCTATCAATGGTCAAATTCCTGGATCAGATGGATGGAGATCTTCACTTCGTAAACTCTGAATGGATTCCGTACGACATTCCAGTGCTGTGCAAAGTTACTGACAGTTCTTTGGGTCTACCATTGCATTTTTCTTGTTTCTGGAGATAAATGGCATTATGTCATGTTCAGAATTCTATCAGGCTTCATTTGGAGTTTTACTGGAGAGCTATTGCCTCACAATTAACCTTAGGCGATGCTGGACATGTCACCATCTTTCCCCGTCCTTGCACACCTCGGCTGGCCCCCCAGCCCCTTTCCCAGTCCTTGCACACCTCGGCCGGCCCCCCCAGCCGCTTTCCCAGTCCTTGCACACCTCGGCCGGCCCCCCA